AGGTGAAATGCTTTGTCTCCAGGAATGTGAGACCTTTTCCACACCTCTGTCTTCTTGCAAATTATCCATTTCTGGCGCCGTCATGTTGCTAGTCAGAGAGGAGGTTGTGGGGAAAAGATGTATACATGTGTTGAAACATTGTCCCTTGAGCTAGTGCCCACCAGGCTGGGTCCTCCTGCAGAATGTGTAGCAATGTATGCAAAGTTACAGAAAAAAATATTTAAAGTGCTATTTCCATAATAATATGTTAATTCTATACAGACTAAATGATAGATGTATAAGAGAACATTGTGGTGAAAGAAGAGCATCCTTTTCTTTTATTCTTGATGGCCTAGGGAGTATGGAAGGTATTTGCTGCATGCAGTATTTGCATCATTACAGTGGTTTAAGAGAGCCTAAAAATGCAGTGAGCCCCCCGGAGTTGCCTGTTGCTCCTATTCCATCTGTCAGCAGTGATCATCCTCTTCTGAGGTAAGAACTTTTTTTTGGTCTTGTTTGGACTTTATCACAGAATCACATAATGGTTTGGATTGGAAGTACCTTAAAGGTCAGTTCCAAGTCCACTGCCCTGGACAGGGACACCTCCCATTCAGCCTGGCCTGGAACACTCCCAGAGATGGAGCAGCCACAGCTGCTCCGTCCTCCGTCCAACCTGTGCCAGAGCCTCAGCACCTCACAGTGTCCTGTCACTCCATGCCCTTGTGAAAAGTCCCCCTTCAGCTCTCTTGCAGCCCCTTTAGGTACAGGAAGGTGCTGTAAGGTCTCCCCAGAGATGCCAGCAGATGTCTGGGTGGCTGAAGTCTCCCACCAGGCTCATGGCTGGCGAAAGTAATTTAGAATTGCTCTCAGACCATTCACAGTACTTGGGTATGAACTGGCACGAAACTGTGCTGTGGCCACTCAGGCTGAGGATCAGCAATGCCTGTGGCCCTGACTGGGCACAGTGCTGCTGCCAGCAGGGGCTGTGATGGCTTTGGAGCCTAACATGGAAAGCAAGCCTGAACTCTCCCCATGAAGCTGGACCCCGGAGAGCCTGCTTCTATGCATCCAGGGCTGTTCCTTTGTCTGCGTAACAGAAAATTACTGTGTGCAGATGACACAGCTGCTCTTTCCCAGGGTGTGCTTTAACCCACACAGACTACAACTGCCACTCCAATTACGGGTCTGTTTTGATCTCAGCACAGTGAGCACATGGCAAAGAGAGAAGGCACTGTCTCCCTTCCCTGTCCTGCCCACCAAGGTAAGTGCCCAGCAAGACAACTTGCTCTTACCTTGGGAGCTCAAGTGAAAAACAAAGGATGGCTCTGCATGGCTTTGTCTGAGCTGGAGGGCCTGTCACTGGGGCACTGGTTTATAGGTGTGAATACTGATCACATAGACATTCAACATATGTGTCAATAAATTCTGTCCAGCTCTCTGGATGGCAGAGCAGCTTATAACCCCGTTCCTGGCTGCTGTAAGCAACACAGCCAAGGACAGGCACCACCGTGGCAGCTACTTCCAGTCTCAGCCCAGCTGTAGGCTGCACCAATTTCTTTCAATGGTGCACAGTCCTGTGATCCTTCCATGCAGCTGGAGCTGGAAGCCGTGGAATCACCATTGCTATGATCACCATTCATCTCAGAAGAAAAGGTTTGACATTACATCCTGTGAGATAATGATTCAGTAAAGCAGTGAAGGATGTGGTTGTCTGTCGTGCTCTCCCAGTGCCTAAAGCAATACTAAAGAGCTTGTTGCAAATGGGAATATGAAAAGCAAATGAGATTGCTGAAATAGAGTGAATAAATACTATTTACATTCATTTTTTTACAGTACTTTACTACCAAACTGGTGTGATGTGTTAAATGGCACTTTCATAGTTAAGACTTCATTTTATTTATCATCTGAATGTTATTTAACTCCACCTTTCCATTTAAGACTCAGCTACACTTGCCATGCATTGTTGAGTGTCAGTTATTTGAATTAGGTGCGTGAAAAAAAATGAGATTGCTGTGCTATGAAAATGCCAACATCTGCTGTTACTGTCTCAGCAGACAAACCCTTCTTCACTCATCACACAGCACCATATAATAAGGACTTGGCACAGCCAGTACCAGTCCTTGCTCCACATTCCCTGTGTCTGTTTTCCAAGGAATTGTCTGTTCTGAGTACTGTATGTCATTTTAGCTTCAATATTTCACCCTCACTGCAAGTTTGTTATGGAAAAAGCTTTACAACAGAAGGTGGTGCCTTAAGTATTTTACATTATACTAATGCAAAACCAGTTCCACAACCCCCTACACCTCTCCCTTTCTCTCAGCTCTCTTTGGTTTTGTGAACTGATGGTATTTGTCTAGTAACCTGTGCACATTGTTGTGGCTGAATAATGCAAATATATGTCTTTTTGTTAACTGCTTTGCTGTAGCTGAGCTCAGCCTGGTTTCATGAGCATGTGGTGTGCGTGTGTCCCATCCTTACCTCCACAGTCACTCCACCACCTGTAGCTTGAGGCGCCTAGTCAGGCACTTGAGTTCTTAGGCTGTTTCCCAGCACCAAGTGACACAGAAGCTGCAAGTTGTGCTTTAGTCATACAGGGACAGGCAAATTTAGCTGTAGAGTGACAAGCCGAACAAACAGTACTCTGCTTCCCATGCTAGCAGAAGTGTCACAGAATGGTTTGGGTGGAAAAGGACCTTAAATATCACCTAGTCCCACCCCCTGCCCTGGGCAGGGACATCTCCCAGCAGCCCAGGCTGCTCCAATCCCATCCAGCCTGGCCTGGAACACTCCCAGGGATGGAGCAGCCACAGCTGCTCTGTCCAACCTGTGCCAGAGCCTCTGCACCTCACAGGGAGGAATTCCTGCCCAATATCCAACCTAACCCCTGCCCTCTGGCAGTTTGAAGCCATTAACGATTATCCTGTCACTATGTGCCCTTGTCAAAAGCCCTTCTCCAGCTCTCTAGTGCCCTTTAGGTGCTAGAAGGTTGCTCTTAGGTGTCTCTGGTATCTTCTCATTGCTGTTGACTATTTTGGAGGGGTGTAGGTACAGCTGAAAACAGACTGAGGCCTCAGCTCCCTTCCAAAGAAATGACTTCAGCTCAAAACGAGTTTGAGGCTGTTTCACTCCTACAGTGCCTGTGCACAAGTGTGCTTGCTCTCACTACTGCATTTGCCCTGTCTTTTAAATCTCTCTTTCCTTCCTCTGACCACTAACACCCGAGTCCTGAGTGAGAAGACGACACAAAGAAATTGGTGGGTATATATAATGACTTGTTTAAAGTAGACTTCAGTGTCAATCTACAGCGCAGTGATTATAATCGACTGGAAATAACACCATTAAAATACGTTTGGGGAAAAAAAGATTTAAGTTATTTCCCAGACATTTTTTTTGGTGACATTTTGAGATAATTTCATGAAAGCTCCTCTTTTTATATATATTACATCAGCTCAACAATTTGATATAACTGTACATAATGAAAGGAAATTGCAGGCTATGAAATTTTCTTTAAACCTTTTAACATTGCTCAATTTTTTTTCCTGCTGCATAGGTTCTTTAGTGGCAGAAGAACTGAATATCATGTCAGCAACTGACTATTAGTTCTTGGCAGAAAGGTTTGCATGGGCATTTGTGACAACCTGGCAATGAAATAATGGGTAGAGCTGGCTCACTTCTACAGAGACAGAAACTTAAATGAGCTCCATCTGAAAGTAATTGCTTTGAAAATATCAAATAAGGATGGCAGAGGGAGAGAGTGTGCACCTGTGTGCAGCGAGGGCTGGGGAGGCTCCACCATTTACCTCTGGACACAGCACTAGTGTGAGAGCTGGAGCTGCAGCACAAGTCTGTGCCTTGACACAGCTGTATTAGTCTAGTTTAATATCCTGGAGATAAACCATGGTGTGTTTCCCACCATGGCTAGGAAAGAGCTGTTGGTTTGGCCTTGCTCTGAATGTCAGAACACAAAGCAGCTGCTTCATAAATCCCCTGCCAGGAGATGGGGAATCAGCAACCACCAGTGGTGACAAGCATAGAAAAGGTGGAGAACTCTCCCAGGCTAATCACTTACCTTAATCTCTATAGGTAAGCATTACAGAACTGGCTAATTCCTGGGTGATTTTCACTGCAACCAAACACAAAAAGCATTCAACCAAAGCTCTTACTATGGCACTGAGCTCTCCTTGATGTGCACTGGTGGCACATGCAGCTGGTTCCCCCCACTAGACACAGCCACAGTCCTGCAGACATTGGCAAAATTTTAATGACAGTACTCAAACTGTACAGCTGAGGAGCAATGGCAATGCTGACTGTACACAGTGTTTCTCTGCCCATTGCTCAAGTGTCAGTTTCATTGTAAAAACAAAGCTTATAAAAATGCACAATTCTCTCCCAAGATACTGTACACTATTCAGTAGGTTAAAAACTGAAAAAATCTTTCATTAAAAAAGTCATTGCACTATTTGTATACATGAGGGATACTCTACATGATCATGTTCATCTCAAAAATATGTGCACTAAAAACCATTTCCATGCAATGCAGTAGTTTCTTATTTCAAAGGTGGTATAAAAAGACAACACAGCAGTCCTAACCACTAGAACACTTTATGTCAAACAAAAGAAATGTGCATCACGTTGTTCAATGTGTTCGATGAATAAAATACAGTAACAAAGATTCAAAAATATTTTCTTTGTTTCCACCACGTGACTACAGTACCAAAAGATACAAGTGATGTGTGCAGTAATCAGGTTAAGCAAAGTTGCTCTCCAGCTGCTTGTCTGCCATGCTAACCCGAGACAGACTGCTATGCTTAAGATTACTGTGATGTCATTTCTGCATCTACCAACCCAGGATTCCCCACACCTGCAAGCTGAGAGCACTGCTCCTGTAAAATAGTGACTCTATTGCATCCAAGTACAAAGTGTGTTGCTTACATTTTAAAAATCTATAGAAAAGGTTTGTTTGCCATAGAAAAATGCTGAAGTCCTGACAAGACACACATTCTGAGCTGTGGAGTTGGTGCTCAGGTCGGAGGGGGCCCGTTGGTGTAGCGCAGCATGGGGTAGAAAGAACGGGCGAAGTTGTTTGCCTGGGTGCAGCTGTAGTCCTCCTCAGAAGATGGAATCATGCAAGCCAGAAGTAAAAGCAGCAGGAAGAACAACTGCAGAGGTAAAGCTGCTCGTAACACCCGGTAAAAGAAGGAGGGAGCCCGAGGGTTTGTCTGGACAGGTTGTGGATGGCTCTCACTTCTGCCAAGGAGGAATGAAGAAACATGGGCACTTCAGGGTTTGAATTAAACAGGTTGTTTTAACCCTCTCATGGGTTCACACTACCCTTTTGAGATGCAGAGCTCTGTGTCTACAGGAAAATACACTGAACACTAACTTCAAAGTGTGCAGACTGCTCTGCAGGGAGCCAAGCTGCTGGGCTGGGGTTACTGTCCTCACTCCTGAAGAAGAAATACTTATTTGCAATAGCTTAGAGCAGTGTGTTTTTACCCTGTTTTCAGATGCAAACTTAACTTTTCCCAGGAAGCAAACAAACCACTCCAAATACAGGCTGAAGTATAATATAAAGGAAAGGCACTATTCACACTGATGAGACCCTTCTCTGTCTTGCCATGATTGAGATCTATCCTTTGAACAGGCCCTAATGTGCTGGGGGTGACATTCTCCTTTCATCCTTCATGGTCTGTTTGTACCAGGAAGCTCTAAATGGCAAGTTTCTTTTTCCAGGTTTGCTGGTGGGATTAAAGGAGGATCTAAAACTAAAATATTCCCCTATCTGGCAGCAAAATATATTTTCTCAAGAGTAAGACAGGCCAAGGCTGCACATTGCTGCAGAGGTCCTGGAGCAGGAGTGCTAAAGGAAACCATTCACTAAGGTGCAGCCCAGTGCTGGTAAGCAGAGGAGACAGTACAAGTAGGAAGAAATCACTTCCACCCATGTGTAAACCTATGAGGAACAGGGGCCTAGGTTTCTGCTGGCACTCAGTTTGCCTTGGCTTATTCACTATCCTTCAAGAGATCAGGTGAATATAAAGTAATACCTTGTGCTGCTGCTGTTTCTGCCTTCTGCAGTTCTCCTCACGGTGATCTGTTGGGAGAAATAGCTTTTAGTATCTAGGTTTCAGAAACTACAAGGAATTTCTCTTTCCCAAAAGAGACAGTTGTAGACTCTACAGTCTGGTTGCAAATTCTGTTGTAATCATTTTACCTTTTAGATCCATGTGCCTTATATTTGAGGAACTTGTCAAAAGGCACTACATGCTGATAGCAAAATATGAGGAAAAAATACTTGCCTTCTTTGCAGCAGGACTGGATTTCTCTGCTTCTGGATCACAGACTCCCGAATCCAAGTCATCTGGAACTAGCAGAAATGTTTTGGTATCCTAAAAGATAACCATACCTTCCTCTTTAAAATGCACACTCATTCAAAACTCACAACAAATGAAGTGCAAAGAGCCATCTTTCACTGCCCCTTTAGCTGTGCAGAACCAGTGGTGAACTGATGCTCCAATTCTCCAGCACAGAGAAATATTTTCCCATGCCCAACCCAAAGGAATTATGATGGAACATGTGCACACAAGTACTAACTTGAAAACATGTGACAGCTCAGGGTAAGCAGTCCATTGCTATGAACGGCAGCAACCAGCAGGCTGGAAGGGACTGCAGGAAGTTCATCTAGTCCAACCTCTGGCTCAAAGCAAGGACAGCTGTGAGACCAGACCAAAAGCTTTACTCAGAGCTTTATCCTCTCTGCTCTGCAAACCCCTCAGGGACAGAGGCAGCACAGCCTCTCTGGCCAATGTGTTTCAGTACTGTACCAGCCTTGTGGTGCTGAAGGCTTTCCTACAGCCAGACTTAACTGGTCTTTTTTTCAGCTTATGAAGTTGGAAACACTTAAATTCTAAGTCAGGACTTTGTAAGCACCTTTACTCTTAGTGTGTTATTGCTTTTCAGTAAGGAAGAACCACGAAGAAGCGTTTAAATTGACTCACCAGATTCCCTTGTATTGTTTTTAAGTCATGAGAGACCTGTTCAATAAGCTGTTTCAGTTTTGTTCCAATTACATGGACTTTCTCTTCCTCTTCAATGTAATCACCATCTGATTTAAGCAGCAGGTAAGAAGTGAGTTCTTGAAGGGAGTTCACATTAAGCTGTTGCTCCAGCAGCTCTTTCTCCAGTTGCTTAGAACAAAAAAACCAAACAAAAACCGGTGTGCAGACTGTTACTCCCAACTTTAAGGGTGTTCTCATAAAAGAAGGAACTCTGGAAGGCTTTAAAGAACAACTCAATCTGCCTGAGAATACACAATACATAGGAATGGCTATTACAGCTCCACAGGAAATGAAGCTCTGGAGGAGACTGGTGGTACCTGCCTGAACTAACATTTGAAATTACTTCCAGCACTGGTAGCTCATATAGAGAAGACATTAAATTCTGGAAGTTGGAAGTACTAGTACAGCATAAAGACTGCACATTATGATATGTAATTATGGAAAAATTGCCTCATATAGGCAATATCTTAGTGCATTTCAGAAACCATCCACATGCCTGACTACAGCAGGTTCAAGGACAGGCTGCACACCTCGTGAGACAAACATCCTGCTCTTCATCACGTGGTGAGAGCTACTGACTTGCTGGAAGAGCTGAGGGGCTGTAAGTTAGGACTGCACTTACCATTAGCTCCTTTTGACGTTCCAGTATTGTATTGAGGTCAACATTTGGGTCTGTGATTTGTGCTGCATTCCTTCGGCTTTCAGCACTTGCTAACCACAGTATAAGTTTTTGGCTCTGATCATGGAAGTCCTAGAGAAACAAGAGGTTTACACATTACATAAGAAAAAAACCACCTCTGCAATGCTTTCACCTGGCTTTGCCTACAAACCAAATGCCCAGCACAGATTAGCCAGAGCCACCACAAATTCACGATTAGTGAAGCTACAGAAACCTAAGTAAACTATTCTACCTATGCAATAACAGGGTATGATCCAGTCAAAAGATATTTTTACAAACCCTTCAAACCCAACAGAGTCAACTTCACAAGAAAACAAAGTGGCTTGGATTGTGAGTGACCATTCCACCAACATGCAGGAACTACCCATCTGCCCTCTCCCCTTAGCTACTTCTCAGTAGCATCCCAAAGAGTTTTCTCCCTCATAAGCTGGCATGTGGTATGCACCTGGCAATGCAGTAAGGCTTGCTGTAAACCTTTCCTCCAGCTGTCCAGTGCATGAGACACTTTCTCCCAGTGCAGGTTCACCTTCCGAAGCCTGTTCTGAAGCTCCTTGAACTCCGTGCTATCTGCTTTCTGGAATTCTTTGCTGCTCAGGTTAGCAGAAAGCAACACTGCTTTGTAGTTATCAAATGCTTTAAGCATGTCCTGGTAGGAAAAGAGGATTAGGAGCTTTTATAAATTATGAAAACCATGTTGTTTATTTACAGGAAAACTATGCATTCAAAAGAATCCCAGGTGCTGGGGAAAGCTGTATGAACCTGCTTGCTTTTCAATACTGCTAAGAAACATACAAAGGTAAGTGACCTTCTCTATTTTCTTCACTTTGAAGAAAATAAATCTGGCTGGTCTTGTGCTGCTCCCTAAATGACAGGGATTACAGCTTAATCCACATCTGTCCTTCACTCCTCTGAGCTGCCTCTTGCCCTGACATTTGGACAAAGATTCCCATAGGTCATCACATGGTACTGCCTCTTAATTTATAAAGGTTTTGCCACCTCAGACTCCTAGAATAATGCTGGGGGTCTGCACTCCATCCTCCTGCTCCAAGCAGGGCCAACTTCAAACCCTGAGCAGGCTGCTCAGGCCCTCAAGGCTCAGGTTTTCCGTATCTCACAAGACGGAGATTCCCCACGCAGTCTGGGCCCAATCCCAACCCCTCTGTTGTTGGAAATTCTTTCTCTTGTCTCCAGCTGAAGTTTCTGTCAGCCCATTTCTCTGACTGTCAAGGTCCCCCCCAATGGCAGTCCTGCCTGCTTTCCTCCTCTCCCTTAAAACTGCAGGGGGAAATAATAATGGATTTTGTGAGGTCATGGCCATATCATCTAACCACTCTTTTATTAAGGCAGAGCCTGTATTTTTGAAGGCTTTTTAAAAGAGATAAATGCTGAACAATACCTCATACCCTCAAGAAGTTTACATTTTGAATCAAGGGTACTCAGTCTTTTTCAAGTTGCTCTTGCAGTATGAAGGTAAGAGCTGCAGGATGAGTTCTGCAGTTCAAACAGCCCAGGCTGCTTTTCTTAGCAGCCTTTCTAACCAAGTGTTGATCTAGATATTCTCAAGATCTGTGTCCCACTTGTTGAAAACCACTGGTCTAAATTACATTCACCCAGCAAAGAGTCCTGGCTCCCTCCTTCAGACAACAAAGTTTCTTCTAGTATCAGACAAAACCACAGACTTCTGAACACCAGTAAGCCAGCCTGAGGGCAGATGTTATCCTTTTCCACAGCAGCTGGGATGTCCAGACAGCTCATGAAATTCTCATCTTAGAGTGGGCTGGCTCTTTTAGACACCTCTGTAAAGGCAAGCTGTCTGAAAAGGGGATTTACAGCCAGCTGGACTCCTCTTAAGTAAATGCAGAAGAGAGAAGAAGTGAAGCTCTGTCCCTTGAAGAGGTCAGACACCCAACTCCAGGCTGAAGGGAAGCACCTCTCTCTACTCATAAGGCACCTCCAAACCTTTCCTGGAGCTCGGCACCTAAGCCAGATTGGTTGATGGAATCAGAGTCACCACTGCTGCAGTGCAGTTATTCACCCCGGCCTAATGACTACTCATCCCTCCTCTGTCCTGCAGAGTGTCTTGTTTGTGAGCATCATCCCAAGTGTGACACCAAGTGAACCAGTAGCCTCAGGCTTTGGGAGACTCCATGTGAGGCTGTTGGCAGAAACATGAGCACACAAGGATTTTGCGTTCCACAGATGTCAGGAACACTAACTCTCTCAGAGTTCAACCTGAGGCATTTTGTTACCCACGTCCTAGGGACTTAACACTTACACATACCCTGGTAACCTGTTGGTTCAGCTTGCAGACCTGACATAGTCCTTGTTTATGGAAGCTGAGTCACAGTAGGCAACATTACATGACCACTCATGCTGACCAATGTCCATGTTACTGTCTCTCTAACTGTTCTATTACTTGGCTGAAGATTAGCAGAGACTGAATTAATTGTTTCTTGTTTCACACTAATACATTCTCTTCAATGAGAAAACTGCATTTGCTAAGCAAAACCCTGCACATTTTGAAAAGCTGAATCCTTCAAGTATTGGGAAAAGGTGCTATTTGGAGCTAAGAGTTTTTGCAAACACCATATTGCTAAAAATCCCAGCTTTAGAGCAGATCTTTCCCAGCCTCCCTGTTGGAGATATACCCTCCCCTTAATTCAGTTAGAAAAAAAAAATCAGCCTAGACTTTGCAGCTGTCGACGTGGCTAATTTTCACTCTGTCTCTGGTTTGTGTAGAGGGGAATGGAACAGAACAGGGAAAAGATCTGATACCACTGTGCAAGAAAACAAACGGAGGGGGGTTTATTTCAGCCTGCCTGCCTGCTGTGCCAGGCCTACTGCCTGCAAATCTCTGCCCAGGCAGACAGAAGCACCTTGGCTAAGGACCCTCCTTGGTGCTCTGATCCGAGAGCAGCATGTCATGCTGCCGACAGGTCCAGGAGCACACACAATGATGGGAGCACTGGCATCTTGAAATCCCACTCCTCAGCCTGCCATAACTTACTTTCAGTTTCTTGGCTCTTTGTTCCAATGCCTGCATGCTGGTTGGAATTTTCACTTTCTGCAGCTCTTCCAGCTCTTCCTCAGTTTTATCAAGCCAAGCAGAGATGTCACTGAGATCTGAGTCCAGCTGCTGCCACTGCTGCAATTTCTGTTTCATCCTAAGTTTATTTCTGAGGTCTTGAGCTTGGATGAGCTCCCACCTATCAATAATGCCTACAAATCATAGAACAACAAACACTTAAATCTCCAGTAAGGTGAATAGTTGTAAAACAGATGCAAGAAGTTTTACAAGTAAGTTATTCCCCAATCTACTCAAAGCCAAATAATTACTACCAGGCATTACACTTTTTTTTTCTGGAGATTCTGCAGTCGGTAAGTTTCATAAGATTGGTCAAGCGATCCAAATAGTAATGCCACATGGGACTTTAATCACAGTAACTGAAGATGTTTTAGTTCACTTGGAAGAACAGAGCAAATCCAAGGAGATGGAATTCAATGAGCCCAGCCGTGACTTGGTGTACACCAAAATTCACCACGGGACAAGTACGATCCATCAGTTATGACTTGGGTATGTGTTTTATGTCTACATTGAGCTGCTGGGTGAGTCCAGCAGAGGCCACAAATACGATCAAAAAGGGCTGGAGCATCTCTTCTGCAAGGATAGGCTGAGAGAGTTGGTGCTCTTCAGCCTGGAGAATAGGAGGCTCTGGGGAGACCTTAGAGCCCCTTCCATTACCTAAAGCTGGGCAGGGTTAGATTAGATATTAGGAAGAAATTCCTTACACTGGCCCAGGTTGCCCAGGGAGGCTGTGGCTGCCCCAGCCCTGACAGTGTTCACAGCCAGGTTGGATGAAGCCTTGAGCAACCTGCTCTGGTGGGAGGTGGCTCTGCCCAGGGCAGGGGGTTAGAGCTGGATGGTCTCTAAGGTCTCTTCCAACCCAAACCATTCTGTGATCCCATGTTTCATCAATTCAGTGCTAAAAGAGACATAGGTGCCACCCATGTGACCACTAACACTATTTCTGAAAGGGCATCTAAGCCCTCCTCAGAGCTTTTCCTATCCATCCCACATATAGGACACAACTCTGGCCCTCTTGTAAGACCAGAGACATAACCTAAGCAAGCTGGTGCATTTAGCTGCAGCCTTCTTTTATCACATGATTCACTTTTGTGATTGCAGTACAATGTGTTATAACAATTTCAAGGACCTGAAACCAGGAATGACTTGGAAGAAAGGACCACAGTGAAGACAGTGAAGAACAGAATATATTACCAGCTTGGTCAAAACACTTCTGCAAATGGGAGCTGTAGCATCTTGTTATATAGAATACCAACAACTCCACAGAGCAATCTTGTTTTAGACAGACACACACTTCTTTGGTTTGAAATCTGATTAAAAGTCTCTGAAGTACTCAATATCACATAAAAGGGAAATTGTTCCTATTCGTTCCAACCAGCAAAGAGATAGAAGTATATTATGAGTGATAAAAACCTCAGTTCTGGCAGAAACTCTAAACGCTTGAACAGCACATGTGGGTTGAATAGAACTGGCTGAGAAGGCAGCTCAGAGCATAGTGGTTTACTTCAATCTTGTCCCCAAGGCAGATGTGCAGCCTTTGTGCCATCTCTGCTTTGTCCCCCCCCAGAATCACAGGACAAACAGCACAGCCCCAAAGCCACTCCTAATGCCTTGTACCTGACTGCTTCTCTGCCACTGCTATATTCACGAGCTCTTGATCATCTTGGGGTTCTTCATCGCTCATGTTAGCAGAGGGAATTTTCTCCTTGCTGCTGCTGCTGCTGCTAGCAGAGCTGAGCTGCTTCACCTGGAATGACATTTTGGTGGGTGAGACCTGCAGGTTAAGTAGTTGTCAAAGGTCAAACTTCATTTGTGCTGCTGCTGAGCTCTTGCATGTCACATTTAGCACTGTGATTCTGCTTCTTTGCTAGCAGTTCATGCTGTCTCTCTGTGCTTTTTCAGTAAACAAACACACTCCATAGAGATGCTAATTATTACAAGACTGGGCATGGCAAATTAATTGCTTTTGCAGTACATGTACCACAGTTTGCTGACACTCTTTGCTGGATTCTGGGTTTTGGCAGTACTGACTCTAAGGCTCTAAGACTGGATTAACGATGATAAATGCAGCCAGATACCGATACCATCCTGTCTGGAAGAGTGCTGACAACTGGCCCAGAACCACTAAGCCTGGCAGCAGCTGGTGAAGCCATGGCTGGCAAGCAGCCACCTAGGCAGAGGTACCAATGAACAGTTAGCCATTTTGGCATTTTTCAGTGCCTAGAAGCAGATTAAATGGTGGGTTGTGTGCTAGAAAAAGACCCTTCCTGTCTGTCTGCTTAGGAAAGGAAAATATGTTAGCAAGTACCAAGGAAGAGTATTCACACCCTCTCTTTTGTGGGCATTAAATTCTCCCAGACTTGTCCTATGACAGTAGAGGAAGGAAATTCCTCCAGACATTGATTCTGACCAGGAGCCCAACATGATTGTTCTGAATTACTTTAAAGAATCTTTACTAGTGAGTAGAGAGAGACTCTCACTGGCCACCTGAGCCGCTGGAAATAATGACCAGGCTTGCATGAAGTGCACATTCCCCCCACAACTAATCTTTTCCTTGATGCTGGAGGAGGGAAGAGGATGCAGTTACACAGAACAAACAAACAGACTGTATAGTACAGGTTCAGTGCCAACAGAGCCTCCAACTCACATAGTCTGGTTTATAGGGGGTACTTGTCTCTGGACCAGACAACACATTTCCAGCCATCTCTGCCTGATTGTATCTGTGTTTCCTGCAGACTGGGCTACCTGGAGAATGCCAAGGATGAGCTTCTGAAACAGCCTTTCCTGGAACAAATAAAAGCAAAACCATACACCATGAGTGAAAAATCCCATCTCCACGAGGATGCTGTTGCTTTGTATTAAGTTAGAAAGCGCTTTGAATAAAATGGCATCAAGTTATGGCATAAAAATGACAGTTTTGCAGCTTTCCTTGCAAAGCATGCACATTTGCAAAACATCAACAGTGTTTCAAAGGTAATGAGATGAGAGCCATGCAGTTATGGGACATTCTGTTTTCTTCTGGACAATGCTTGGATTCAGGTATGAGTATTCAAAAAAACAAAGGGAAAAGGCTGCACCCTGGGTTTGGAAAGTCTGCACCCCGGGTTTGGAAAGTCTGCACCCCAACCATACTACCACACATTTGCAGTGCATGTCAGCAGGGACAATGTCCTGATCTGGAGAATGTTTGTTCTGGAATTAACAGACAGGACACACATGGTTCTGCCATGCACAAACCACAAAAAATACTTGCAGAGTTGGAGCTAGTGCCTTCAGGAATTATGCAACCAAAACAAGAAATAACCAAAACAGTGATACTACCCAGAGCAAACCACCAAGGAAGTACCAAAAGACTTTGGATCAATACTATGAAATGCACATTAACCACCTTGGCATTTACCAGGCAAAATCTAAATGGCATGTTCTGGACTGCTTTGTAACGTACATGTGGATACTGCAGCGTAAGAACACCATGACAGGATGAGACATGGTGTCCACACAAGGCAGGAAGTCAGACATTACATATGAGAGAGGTTGAGGAATATAGCGTGCAGCACAGGGAGATTGCCATGTTCAGACACATGCATTAGCAGGTGCCTACCAGAAGATGCTTTCAAAGTTTTTGTGGTCATTTTAAGATATGCCTCAGGATTTTCAGTGATTTCTACATCTGAAAAAAGAATAATGTCATTTTCCTCACTATTCAGTATCTTCCAACTATTAAAAACAACTGAAATAATGAGGGACAAAGACAAAGAACAAAACGTGGTTGGTACAATTTTCATACATTCCTAAAAGTAAAGTTTCTTATGTTTCTGGAAATAAAAGCTTGGTTTAGACAATACCATTCCCTTCACCAACACATCTAAGAGATGCCACTGCTCACATCTACTTGAAAACCAACCAACAACATGAGAGCAAGACTTGAGTCCCTCTCCCCTCCCACACAGGACATCCTGCACCTGTCCATGTCCACCTGAACTGCTGCACATTGGTTCTCACCTGACAGGGCACTGTAGTATGTTGCTTCTTCATCATCTTCATGAGAGGAAGAACCTCCCACGTCACCTGTGTGATCCCACTCGAGTGGGATGGAATCAACACTGACAGGAGTTTCACAGCCTGATCTCTCATGACCTTGACTAGGAGGCATAAGCTGGCAAAGGGACTGTGTTGATGAGGGCCCCTCGTTGATGGCCTTCTTATGCCAGGGATCATTCTGGATTTCTCTGGAGTCTTCTTGATCTGTCTCATTTTCAGAGTTATCTTTTTCATCATCCAATCCCTACAAATAAGTAACAATTATTGGATATTAGTAAGGTTTACAAGAGCTCTGCACTCCTAAATGAGCTAATGATTGAGCCACACAGTACTACTGGGGATGGGTTTGTGGTCAGCAGCAGTAACCAAGGACCATGTACACAAAATTAAAAGGAGACATAATTTCTGCCTCCTCCCTCTTTTGCCAGAACAGCCCTCACATCAGCAGCTACCTCCCCTCTTTCAAGACACTCAAACACCACCATAAAATCTCTCTCTGGTTTGCAGGGAGGGGTACCCAGTTTCAAATGGACTTCACAGGTCAGCAAGGTGAACAGCAGGCAGGGGTGAACAGCTGCTTGTAGCTGTTCATGTTACTTCCTCTACCTGGCTTTCTAATAGATGTTCTTGCTTTCTGAGCCAAAGCAAACTGAAAGTCGCCTGAATGCTCCTAGGAAAAAACTAAGTGCACTCTATTCCCCATTTAGGGCTCTCACAACACAGCAGATAGATGGAGCCTCACAAACAAATACATGAAGAGCTATTCTAAGCATGTTATTGAAATTAAAGAAAATAAAGTGATATTAAAAACACCAAAAAAGCTTTTTAAGCCCTCAAGCCACTACTACATAAATATGAACCATTTCTATGCTAATATCCAGATTCTGTAGATGCAGTCCCACCAGGACAAGAGTGAGGAGACAAGACTGGTGACAAAAATTTAGCAAAGCTGGCACATCTACTGCAGAGCTCCTCGCTCCTTTGAGCTCAAACTACTCAGTCAAGCTGCAATGCGCACTGCAATTCAAACACCGAAGTCTTGCTAAAGCATCAAAATAACTGTTGCTTCTTACAGGATCCCTTGAAGTCAGTCTTTGATGGAACCGAGCAACTCGCCCGAACACCTCCTGACAGTATCGATGAAGGTCCTCCAGTTCATCTTCAATCAGGGTAGCATCCAAAGGCTCACTCTTCTGTATCAGCTGCTCCCCAAAAACGATTAGCTGATCAATCCTATTGGTGTTCAGTGTTATTTCCTGCTGGAAACCCTATTGGGAACATACAAAAAAGCATTACTTCTGCAACAGCCTAAGGTTTGTCCCTCTTCTGCCTCACTCCAGTAAAAGATAAGCAGCAATTGACATTGTTGTCTAATTTAATTTGGCAAATATCTTTTTCCTCAAGAGGTCCAGAGGTTTGTTTTACTAGCAGAGTTGCAGTTCCAAATGAAGTGGCTTTTCCCCCCCATACCTATATCAGTATGACTGCAGAGTCCTGAGCCTGCAGGGCATCACACCACAAGAGTTCAGCTACACAGAATCTACTTTTCTGCTGGGCACACAGTCCGTTCCTCTATAGCAAAGAAGTTTGTTTGGCTGCTAGGGCCTCCAGCCTACACAACAGTAAACCTACATCCCAAAACAATTAACAGTGCAGGCAGAAGGGAGAAACAAGCATATGAGCAGGCAGCAAAGAACTAGCAGCAGGGCATCACACCACAAGAGTTCAGCTACACAGAATCTACTTTTCTGCTGGGCACACAGTCCGTTCCTCTATAGCAAAGAAGTTTGTTTGGCTGCTAGGGCCTCCAGCCTACACAACAGTAAACCTACATCCCAAAACAATTAACAGTGCAGGCAGAAGGGAGAAACAAGCATATGAGCAGGCAGCAAAGAACTAGCATTTAGAATCACTTTCCTGCTGTCTTATTTCTGTTCAAAGCACAGCTACAGACAATGCACTCAGGAGAGAGCTGCATAGTGCCAGTGCAAAAAAAATTCAACAGAATTTGGGAATGTAGTTTTTTCTGTTAACCTGCACCTGCCACTCCCCCGGTCAGGCACCTCTGCCACAGACACTTGGTGTCAGGAGAAAATGGCAGGATAGAACTGAGCTTGAACACTGAATCTGAATTAAATACTGTACAGTTTAATCTTGATTCCGACAATACGTCTTAACAATTTACTGGTGTCTCGAAAGAAACACAGCCCTGCAGATTACTCGTGGCTATTGTTAAGTTTCAGAAAAGCAGATGATTCTGTCAAGAGTGGGCAGCCCAACAGGATCAGCAGGGCTGCATTAAATAATGCATTTATAAGGATACGCACATTTAACTGGCGCATTTTGTCATCAAAGTTACTCTTTGAGAAGTGCTCCACGTTTGTTAGCTGCAGGTCCATTTCTGTGAGCCAGACAAGGATGCTCTCCCTTGTCCCCTCAAACTCATCTCTCCGACTGGTGAAGTGCTGGATGGGAAGAAGGGAGACAGTGTTACAAGACTTCAGCTACTGAAAGAGACATCACAGGAGTTCTCTGAAAACAGTGTCTTGTTTCAAAGCCCCTGTTCACCTTAAGGCCTTCAGGGCATGAACCCTATGTATGAAACCTGTCCCCTTCCTGCAGTGATGCTAGAACAGTGTCCTGTGTTAGTACACCATTGGTATGGGAGAAGGAATGACGAGTCCTTGGCGCAAGACACTTCTGTAGAATTATACTCCTGACTCCACACTGTTAACCTCCTCCCACATCACTATACCAGTGTAACAGTCACTCGGACTGAGGCTTAACATCCAATTTGTTCCAAATTCAAGACAGAGATAATTCTCTCTCTCATGAAAGTAATTAAGCCTATGGGATTAAAATCAGTTTTCACTGATTTTACACTGGAGACGCTGGACCATGGATGACCACTCCAGTGTCATTAACGCACCATTTGGTTTGGTAGTCAGGAGGAACTCTCCTTGCTGCCACCCCCTACAGGAGCTGCCAACAGACCTGTAGCTTGCCTGTTCTCCTAGGTGGATTTACTGTTCAGGAAGTGGATCATGCAACATCCCAAACACAACAACCCATAACTGTACAGATCAAGCCCCATCACTGCTCTCACAGCCTCATCCGCTGACTTTTAGGACCCAACAGTTTTCTTTCTCAGTTGCTTGCAGCACTGCTATCTTTAAAAATCAGCCAGTGACAAGTTTCCCCCAGAGCACAGCACAGAGTATCTGCCCAGAGATCAGTTTAACTGACAAGCAGGAATAGCTCTCTGAAGCTTCACAAACACACCGTTCCACAGCATTCCTCATCAGGCAGGCAGCACAGCAGGAGCTGTGCCTCTCCATCACATCTCCATGCTTAAAGCCTTGGCATGAAGTTGAGCTGAGTTGCAACCTCCAAACCATATACGCACAGGGGCCCTTTTTATCTCTCTGCCTCTTATCTATGGAAAGGTGCCAGTGCACGAACACATCCGCCCATTACAAGACTGGGTAAGAGGAAAGTGTGATAGGAGCAGTGAAACATGCAACCAACCTTCCAAAATCTGCACCTGTTCTTCCCTTATGCTTTTCTTCAGCTACCAAGAACCCGTCTCCCAAGGACAGGTTTATGCCATGTACTTGGAGCCCTTTCCTGAGCTGCTCTCCTACACTGGTAGCTCAAGACAAACCGACACAGGATAGTTACTCGAGTGTATGTTTTGTTCTTGGGTAATTCCTACAGAAACCTGCAAGTGCTCCTCACTCTCTCACCCCACCGTGCAATTACCTTGAGTCTCCTCAGAATGGAAGCAACTCGTTTCTGGAGGTTATCCCAGCGCTGGTTACCTTCGTGCACCATCTGCTTCAGCTTGCTGGCGGAGTCGGTGCGGTTCTCGCGGGCCAGGCGTCTGTACTGCTTGTTGATCAGCTCCAGCTGTGTCAGGCGCTCGTGGATTTGCCGCTGGAATGCCTGCAGGGCGAATCAAGGGGCTCAGTTCTCTTGCTGAGCAGAGAAAGGATGTCACACATCACAAGAGAGGATGCCCTCTCGTTGTGAACAGACCTTCCAACAGCAAAATGAAATCCAGAGGAGGTCTTGTACTTTAAACCATCTGCTCACACTGCGTATAAATATCAACCTGCAAAGGTCTCTTGCCTATAAAAAGCAAATCCTTCACTTATCAGCAGGATCTTGTCAGTTCAGAGCATTGGATTCTCCACTTTAAAGAAACCTCTAGAGACAAATAGCCAGTTACCTACACTAGCCAAATTATTTATGTTCTCTATACTGCCAATGCCAAACCAGTGTTTTCCGGTGGCCCAGTCATCTTGCACAGACAATAGTATTTAGCAATCTGGGCATAAAAAAGGAAGTTAAAAATTCACCTCGAATTTCTTCAGCTCCTCTTTTGCATGTGTGTACAAAACCTCTGAAGAATTAGGCCTAGCTGCTATCATTTCAGATGCTTTTAGCCAATCTTCAAAGCGAGAATAATCATCCAAAAACCTCTGCCACAGACGCCAGGTTTCCTCGATTCTGAGAGAGCAAAAATGGAAAGGTTTTATCACAAGCCAACTATTAATTCTGGATTCTTTTCCCTTTTCAAAACTCAGCTTGTGGCAAAAGCTACAGCATTTCTTCAAAATGCTGCCACAGGCTCCTTTTGGAGGGGTAGGACAACGAGACTCACTTCATTCGCCTTTCCATAGACATGGCGCAAATGTTTCTCCACCGTCTGTCCAAGCTCCTGGTGGTCTGCTGGATGGAGTCACACTCTGTCTCGTTAGCACACGCATCTGAATCGTGCAGCAAGACGTCACAGATGTTGAAGACAGACTCCACCCCTGCCGTGTGCTGCTCTATGTCGCGCTGCAGGTCCTGCCACGGGCAAAGAACAGCTTGAGTGCAAGGAAACTTGCGCAGCTAGATACCCTTCAAAACGCTGCAGAGGATGGGGAAAGAGCAACTTGTATGTCAGAAGGAGATAATTTCGCTTTAGAAAACAGACTTGCAGGATAAGCTCTGCAGACAACAGGCTGACAGGTCAGGACAGAAGTGACATGCCAAAAGGGATTGCTCAGCTTTGGTTTCGCAGTCTAAACTCAATCTTCTCATTAACAGTCTGGACAATTTTTATGTGTGTTCAAAATCCAAACCTTACATGTGCCATAAACACATTCTTATCAATTCTGACAGCACCAGATGACAGTCTCATATCACCTTGGCACACTGTAAGCCTTGCCAGAGAACTCTCAGCACAGTACATGTGTTTTAGTGACTGTGTGGTCACAGCTGGTAGCATAAAACACAGCACACAAGGACCTGGTGTTATGCTGCTTTTCTTTTTCCCTCTTGTAGAGCTCCTGTTTTGACAGACTGCTTTAAAGGGTCTGGCAAAGACTTCTCATGTAATATACACTACAGGTTTCTTCTCCAGAGCCTGCATCTCCATGATAGCCTCTTATTCTGTACTGACCACTACTCCTGAAGTCGACTGAATGACAGGAAAAAAGCCTTATCAAAATATATTTCATATTGAAAAGGCAGCTCAGTACAGTGCTACGAAGTTTAAGTATTAACAAAATGACAGTAACCACTGCACCTTCTTTTTTTTCAACCCATTTCTGGCTTTTCTAATATAGGATAGAGACTTTTGCTTGAATAACACTAGAACAACAAACACAAATGAGTATTTTTCAGACAACAGTGAACTGGAACTCCCATTAAATGGTATTACTGATTTCAGTGAGCAGATGAAGCAGATTTGGTTTTGCTCTAGACTTAAAAACAACCAAACCCAAAATAAAACAAACAAAACCTATGAAAACAGACACAGCTTGTAGTAAATAGTAAAAGGAGTTGAAGGAAGATCTTCCCAGATATCAACAAGCTGCAAGGAGTTGACTATCACCCGGTGGCAATCTTCAGTGGTTACATGGGTACCTGACAAGGGCTGAGCCATAAGTGGTCAAAATATGCTTGTGGGATCTATAGTAATGAACTGCTTTAAGGAATGTAGAAGCAAAAATCTTTACACAGATGAGACACTGTCAGGAGACCCAACAGAACTTCTCCTGGTTATTAAGCATTGACAGCTGTTTTCTGAGCAGGATGCATCAATGTCATTTCAACACAGGCTCTACAGCTGGGAGAAGGCTCTACCCCACTACTGGTACCTGAAGGGTCTCTTCTGAATTCATTAAATGTTGCATTAGTGAAAATGAGAATTTTGACCACAGACTACAAATTAATTCTAACTTGCACTATGGTAATGTTGCTGACATGACCCCATGACTTCAGCTTCATGGAATAACCCTAGGCAGAAGCCTTGCTGTTTTCCAGCTGACCTGACTGTATTATAGTGGGACAAACACAACAAACTAAGGGGGTCATGAACATACATTGAGCCCCAAAAGGTGCTTTTCCCACAACTCTGCAGAGCATTGCTCAAAGAGCTTAAAAAGACCACACACTGCTAGATTTCTGCATTAGTGAAACACCTTTGCAACCTTACCGTAAGTATTAATCATGTTGTAATTGGTATCCTTTAATTGAACAAACATGCCATAAAACATTCTGCGTGGATGCGCAATGCTCCTAAATGCCATTATACAAGACTGAACAGGTAAAGCTTTTCCAGTCATGGATGTCAAATAAAGGAAGCCTGTAGGGCATATTTCTCACCATGGCTCTGCTCTTGCTAAAATAATTGTTCAATAAAACGAGGAAAGACCTTTTTACTTGTCACATTCAGAGAAATGTTTCTCTAATGTGGAACAACAGAGGCTTTTTTTTTTACTGTGGTCTTTTTAGTCAGCACAGTCTTCTCATATTCAGCCTGCTAAAAAGTTACAGTAGAAGGAGTCTAGAGGTACCCAGAGGTCTGTGTTTGAAACAGAATCCAGACAACAAAGCAGTAAGTAGCTGTGAGCAACAAATGATGGCTCTTACAGCGAGCTGAGGCTTGAATGCTCATACTATAAATAAACTAGCTTGGACACAATTCCTCTGAGCCCCATGCTCTGCTCCGCCTGGCAACCCATCACGGCCTTTGAGAATGCAACAGGTTTGGATGGGGAGAAAATATTTCCTTGTTATTTACGTGACCATTCACATTGCAAATGAAACCATTAGAGGCACCGGGCCAAGGTTTCTGGTGTTTGAGCAGCTCCTGCAGTGGTGTCAGTGGGAACCACCTCCACTCCAGTTGCAGAGGAGCTGCCACTTCCCATGATGTCTGGGACATGAGTGCAGGGAGAGCAGAGAACACAATCCTCAGGTCTGGGCCACTCAGGGATCATTCCTTAGACATGAAAGCAAAAGCAGAAGTAAAAGATGGGAAGGACAGGAAGAAAACCAATAGGTGTTCTTAAAGGCAGATGCCATAACGTTTCCAAGCTTGACAGCTTTATTCTTGATCCTTGGTTTTGGGGCAAATATTCTTGTTCAACATGAAGGCCAGATGACAGCCATTCACTTTGAACCTGGGCAGACTTGCAGTACTGCCCTGAGCAAAGACTGACTCCAACTGTGACTCCATAATGAATATGCAACTCTGTGCTTTGGAGAAGTCCCTTTTCCTTCCCTGGCTGCTAGCGAGAGAAATTCACTCCAAGACTATCCAACTCATCTCACGCTTCCACACGGCTGGGACAGCTGGTCCATTCAGCTGTGCTCAATGCTTGCCATCTCCAGCACTTCAAACTAGCATAGATCCTTAAGATCCCCCTGGTAAGCCACAGTCTTGGGTAAATGCTTACCTGCACTCCTCCAACACCAAGCCCTACAAGGCTGGTTCACACCTATTGCCTCAGCAGGATTCACATAGCATCTCACCCAACCCTGAGGGGATCTTCAGCTCTACTGGATCAGGCTTCAACCGTGTGTTTGCACAAGTCTGCCCTCCATACTTTAAACATCCTATACTGCCAAGCTTGCTCTGCTGTCTGCAAGGAGGGGATGAGAGCTGAGCTAGTGAGCACAATGCCTCAAAACACAACAGCACTTAAATCTGCCACAGCCACTTCACAGGAGACCAGCATTCACGCCTTGTCAGTCTATGTCATCCTCATGTATTCTGCCCATGTCCATGCCCTGCTTAGCCCTTAGGAAATCTGCTGTACTGAAGTGAGCAAATTCAGAACGTTTTTGTTTGTGTTTTGCATGTTTTCCTTGTGTGAAGTGGGGAAGGGAGAAGTGGGGGTCATTCAACACAATACTGAAACCACTGCAAGCAAATGAAGACTTTCCATGTGAGGCATCATGGCAGGAACATGAAGTAAAAAGCAAACAGAAGGGCTCACTAAAGAAAAGAAATCAGGACCAGTAGTAATCAGCAGCATTTTAGCTCCTTTACTCTGGCTGCTGCTATTTCCCACCTGCTGTTCTGCCAGTCTCTTCTGGATTTCTTGGTCATCACAGATGTCATAAACAACAGGCTTGGAAAGCTCAGACTCAATCCGGGCCAACCAGGTGCGAAGGTTACTCATGTTTTTGTCCAACAGTTGTATAAAAGCAAATGTTTCCTTCAGTTTCTTCACCCTAAGCAAACCGGGAAGAACATTTTGTTACAAAGATCGGCAATCAGTGGAAAGGACGTTAGCAAAAGGTGATGACAGGCATGGCTTTATGAAGCACTTACTTTACACCAAGCTGCTGCCTGTAAATCAGAGCCATGTTTTAGTCAAAACCTACCTAAATTGTCTCAGCAGGTCTCTGCTCTACAGCTGCAAGAAGACCTTGTGTGAATGCTATAACTATATGAGCAGGGTGAGTTTCCATCCGCTAGTGAGCACTGGACATTTGTCCAAGTGGGAATTTGTACTGTATTGTGCCACAGTTAAACTAGAAAGGTAATCTATGGTCTGATTTTCCTGTTGTGAACTATGTTGAGTGTCTTATTCAGCAACCAACAGGCCCACACTAGTCAGTAAGGTACTGCTCTGCCAATGGAGGCAGAATCTGCCCAAACCATTGGTCCAACACCCTGGGCAAATCATAGAATCACAGAAAGGTTTGTGTTGGAAGTGACCTAAAAGATTTTCTAGCTCCAACCCCCCACCATGGGCAGGGACAACCTTTCACTAGCCCAGGTTGCTCAGAGCCCCATTCCACATGGCCTTGAACACTTCCAGGGATGGAGCAGCCACAGCTGCTCTGGGCAACATGTTCCAGTGCCTAAGCACCCCTTGGATGCTGACAAGAGAGAAGACTTGAACAGCCACTGTAGAACTTACAGTTCCATGACATTAATAGCTCTTCTAAACATACTGAAATGTGCAGAGAGGTAGTGCAGAAATGTGCCAGACCTTCCTGGGTGGTGAAAATGAAAAAAACAATCCTGAAGAGGGAGAATATCCAACAGCTAGACAGAGTTGTGCAGCAGACAAGGAAATGAACCTTCAACACAATTTTCTTTTCTTACAGCTGTTGTAGCACAGCTCTCAAACTGCAAACTTTTCTTTATTTCCAGCCTTGACAGAATATTCCTGTGTCAAAACCCATTATCATCCCCACAAATTACCCAAGCAACATGCTTGTACATTTTGGCAAATTTGCCCCACTGTGTTGGACAAATATGTGCTACACTACCTCACTGCTCTCCCATCTTTCCTTGAAATTCTCATTTATTGCAACTCCCAACAAAAACTACTAATGAGGCAACACCAGGGTGACACTTGTCTCTTCTGACTTCAGACTTTTTTCAGAGCTTGCCATCTAGACCTTGGTAGTTAATGGAGGGAAAAAAAGATTATGATTTCTATCAGACCTGTCTTAACCATCCAGATAATGAGATGAGATGAATCCTACCAAACCCCACATACTTAACCCCATAACTGTGATGGTCTACCCTGCAGTACTATAAACATAACAGTGCAGATACTAAATGGCAGGTGAAATCAGGGGAGAACTTCTTACCCAGCACTGCTTCCCTGTGCTGCTCTCCTGGCTGCTTGCATCACTCTGATCTCTAGTTCTGTCCCTGTGCCTCCGGGATGCATTTCCGGACCTTGCACGTGATTTTAAAAATGCAAATTTACCAATTAAACCTTTAGTTACTGCTTGGTCTAGCAGCTACCAACATGAGCCTCATCATTTAAGTCAAGTGCAGCAAAAAAGTTATAGTATGTATTGTGCAAAGGCTGAAACATTTCCCAGTCATTGGCCACTGTGGCTGGGGACTGTCACCAGCTGAACAAAACCAGCAGCTGGGACTGCAAGGGGATCATTGTGTCCCCCAAACTGCAGGGGACTGTGAGGGATCTGAGACCTTGTGCAGGCTGGGACTGGGGCAGGGTGGGGGTGTGATCTCATGTGGTGCAGGCAGGGACAGGGACCCTGGATGCTGGCTTCATGCAAAGGACCTGCCCCTCCCTGCAAGGAAAATTAGAAGTTTCCTGGCCCACTGTCCTGCCTGCTGCCAAACTATCCTAGAGGAGAGGGGCCCAAACTGCCTGTAACTTTGGCAGCGGACTGACAACACAGTGACAGGAGATATGCAGGACAGCTAATCCATAATGAATATGCAACTCTGTAAGCAACAACTGATCTCATTAGCAACCTTAAGGTAATCAGAGAGGATATATACGTCAGCTAGACACCAGATTTAAGGTAAAGCACTTATGGAGGAGGTGTGGGAATGATCCTGCTGCATTTGTTCAGTTCTGTTGGACACTGTGAAGATAGACAGCAAGGCCAGCAAATCTGGGGTCTCACATGGATTGGCAGCATGGAAAGCACCTTCCCCTACCTCTTGTCCCAAAAGGACCAGGCAGTACTTCCAGCTGTTTTACGAGGAGGGTGAGAAGAGCATAATCCTACTGAGTCCTGCTAGGACTCCGGGCAGGTATTTAGCCACTCTGAACTCTCAAAAATGCAAACTTAGTATTGTCTGACTGATGTAACGCTGCAAGCCAGCCTGAAGTGTCCGGACCAGGTCCATGGTCCACCTGGTTCCTGCTCTGCACCAATTGATATGGAGAAGTAAGCCCTAAAGGGCCAGGAAATGCCAGCTGAGTGAACAAAGGGAAGTATGCCCTAAAGGGCTATTAAGTGCAGCTGAGGGAGGGGATGGTGACAATGAATTTTTGAGAACTAACTGTAATAATAATGACCACCCACCCCTGGAAATAATTAATATGTATGAGCATTTAATGTATAAAAACCATGAATTTTTTGTCTCTGGTTGCACAAGTTTGGTGGAAGGATCCCCCTTGTGCCCAGCGCTGAATAAACAAATACCTGCTACTCAGAGATACAAGTCTGGGAGTAGTTCTTTTCCAGTTTTTCTCGGCATCACCACAAACCCGATACTGGTGTAAAGTGCAAAGCAGCTGCCTCTGCCCTTTTACACTGACTGTACTTCCCGCTGCAGGGGATGACAAAAGCATTTAGATGCTCTCACTTTCCTTAACAAGCTCTTTTCGGAACTCTGCTCCCAAGTTCAACCCTGTATGCAAACATCATCAGGCTCCCAAGCAAACAGCTGCTGTATAAATCTTCCTGCTCCTGGTTCTTCTTCTGTTAAGTGGTACTCAATGAACATGTCATACTTTGGAAACTGTGCAGCATTTTCTTGTGCTATCATAGGCTAGCAGTAATTTACATAGGAGAACTAATTTTTCCTCCACCCTATTCCCTGCTTCTGCCCCACCAGTCAATTTGGATAGGTTGGTTATGGTGCTCAGCAGGGACTGTGACTCCCCAGGGTGTGTGGCCCACCAAAGACAGGTGACTGGAACCCTTCTCCCTGGAGAGACGGGACAATGTAGGCCCTGTGTTGAGCACTGCAAGGAAGGATCACTAGAAGAGCCAGGCCTGAGAACAAGTCTGATCCAAACATCTATGCTGCTGCTTTGTTAACTCTGCATGACTTCAAGCCAGTCAGGAGGAAAGCAAGGCTTGATCACAGCACTGTCCCTGGCCATATCCTGGGGCAATTTATTCTCTGCATATCCTGTGACACTCTCCACTAGTGCTTTGGAAATGTCCCTCTGGCAACATGCACGTGCTAGGGCCATCTGATGACCTGGCTTACTGTGCTGTTCAGTATCATCTCTACTTCCCTGCACTCCCTTCTCTGCCTGTATCCAGCTGCTTCTCATTCTTAAATTGCATTACAGAAAAATTCACAGGCTGCAAAACATCTTTCTTCGGTCTGCATACTGGGTAACAGGTAGGTGAACACAGCCAAGGAAGTCCAAAGCAAAACCAAAGGATATTAGATTACAAATAAATGTTTCTATGACTGAAAACACATTCAATAAATTTAAAAGCAACAGTTTTAGAATCCAAGTGTGGTTTTTTGCACGAGCACTCCAACAGTATTTTGGCTTAGAAATCACTCTACATTTCCAGTTATAAGTATCACCATAAATATGTCGGTCTTTATTTTCTAGTGATATCAGAAGCAACAGTCTCAAAACCAGCATCACAGCGGAACTGTAAGCTTGTATTTACTTTCCAGCAATTGTCATTAGACACACCACTGTAATTAGGTAATTTAATCTGTTACACAGTCTGGATGGAATATAGCATTTGTCAGTCATTTAACCACCCTTAATGCCCTAAGTCATTCATCTCAAACTTGAGCTAAGCAGCCAGAGAAGAATAAAAACCTAACAGAAGTTCACACTGATGCAGTGTGCAATGGGAGGACAGCTTCGCCCAGATGTTCATATTGGCGGATCTCAGCAGACACAGAGCCAAGGTTAAGGGCAGGATCCTACTCTGAAGCAACAGGTAGAATGGTGAAAAATTTGAGCATCCTCCTTGAGCATCTTCAGCTTGCACTGAAGCCTCAGGGAGCTGTCATGTCTCTGGGTACAGCTCAAAGAAGAGAACAAAATAGACTAATCACATCCATAAGTCTTACATTTGCAACCACTATTGCAAGCATTCTTGCAAAATACCTGTGAACTCTTTCGAGATGCATCCCGGAGGGACCATTTGTCAGGAATGACAGCCCCCCAGGAGCTGGCTGAGGGTGCACAGCACAGGCCTCCAAGCCTGGGGGCAAAGTCTCCCCCACGGCTCCAGGTGACTGATCACCCAACATACAGTGAATTAACAGCCCTAAAAGTTCGAGTGATGCAGAGGAAAACAGCTCTTCCCGGTTACCCAGAGGGTGGAAGGCGCCACCCCAGTAGACTGATTTCTTCCTCTGACTGACTATCGGGTTATTTGGTCAAACAGGCAAAACTTACTGTTTACTGAATGAAGGCCTAATTATCAATTGTTCACTTCCCGATGAGAACTCACCTGCCACAACTCAACATGCCTCCAGAAGCAAAGCAAAACAAAACAAGTAATAATTTAAAAAATCCAATAAATATCACTACTAATGCAAAAAACCCCAAACTCACACTTGTCTTGTCCTTTGCAATGGGCCCAGTTAAAAAGAGCCACCCTGATACATAACAGCATTTAGACACATGCATAAGATTCCTGGGATAAGCCAAACAAAGCCAGTTTCTAAAGGTCTTAATCTTTACACCAAAATAGAAGTAGCAGAAAAAGAACAAAACTAGAAGATTA